AACATCAGTTTTTCTTACCGAATACTGAGAAAAATAAAATATTAGAGGAAATCAGGCAATTAGCCAAATTGGGAAGTATATACCACCTCAGATATGAGGTTGAGAATGCAGTTTGCTGGATCTTAAAGGAGTGTTTAGTACATTTCATAATCATCATTTGACGCTCTTTACCAATATGAGTCTGAAAACTGCTTTATTATGGGTGTAACGTATGGTCCTTTTTCGTTTTATTTCCGTTAAAGGCACGACTAAAAGCTAATAATTACTCGTGTGCCGTAAACATGAGAACTTTGATGATACGCCTAACATCCCATCACGGTGAGACGCAATTTTGTGTCCAAATCTGCTATGCTGAGGATGAAAGCCGTATGGCTTTTGGCCGTTGCCAAATTTTCTTCCTGCTAAAAGTCACCGTCAAAAGTCTTAAAACAAAGTCAGAGGTACTGAATCCAATTAACCATCGATATCGATTGCTAAATCGAAGCAGTACTTTTGTCTTTATTTTAAAATTTTGGAAGATGGTTTTCCGGATTTCTTAGTGATTGATCTATAGACTGACATTTCAACTTATATTTACGACAGACCATTAAAGAGATGAGTAATTTTAAAGTTTTATCTTTGACCTGCCTCCTCCTAATTATCAAACCTCAAAAATCGTGAGTGTTAATACCTAGGGCTCAGAAAATAATTTTCTAGTAACCTTGAAATCCAATCATCAGGCTGGGATTCAGAATGCTCGACTTACGATAAAGTAACAACACTCAAATGCTCATACGATGCTGTCCTCAAACACGGCAGAATAGAACGAGAACTGCTCGACCAAAATCATATTTGTCTCCGTGGGACTATCATCGTAGTTAACACCGAAACGGAGACGCCTGTAAAAACCCGGCGACTAAATACTGGATCTCAGATTACCGACCGGACAATTTGGGCCCCGGCGAAGTATAAATATCCAGGAGTCATATAAATGTTACTGGCTCGTAAAGTGTGAATAACTAGGTTTATTGCAAGAGTTGATAATGCTCTAATTATTCCCAGAGCAGCCGTTAACATGTCCCTTGCAGCCGCGGGTGTCAGGTTGAGGGCGGAGTCACCCCGGGTCTCGCGCTTCGCCGCGGAAGGAGATCCCGTTTTCCGCGGGACAAATCTGCCAACAAAGCCGTCTGAGACTGTCACGGTGCTTAATTTTCCCTGCGTCCGGTGGATCTCGCACACTCTTACCATTTAAGGAAATTTAGCTCCCATAAAATTAATCCGATAGTATGCCCGACTCATCCTCAAATTATGAAACACTTTTTTCATCGCTTAACGACGCTAAACGCGGGATTATGTATAATCTGGGAGGTGTCGTTGGTTTGAACAAGCGACTGGCTCGAATTTTCGATGCATACGAGTTCATTCGGGTTCTAGCGACGCGACCCTACAACTCTGTTCACGTGTCCTTTACTGTTAGAAATTTTGAACTTGTGCGTTTTAGCGGTGTGTTTATTTCGGTTATTTGTCCGACGGAACATATCCTGCGTTCCTATTATCCGTGGATGGGTAAACGGAATACAACCGTTGTAATCCAGTGACACACCCGTGTATTTCCTGAGGAAGAGTTAGGGGGAGGGGGGGGGCTACATTGCATTTCGTTTACTCAGCCGTGGATAATGTAGTTCCTTCGCCGTGTTGTTCCTTGTGTTCCCTCGGACAAATAACCGAAATAAACAAACCGGTGTGTTCAGATGTTTTTAACAGTGTTTGTTCAACCGTTTCTTACTATGGCCATTTCTCGTGTTCCCTGGAAAAAAACACATTGGATCTAGAATCCGGACTCTTGAAAACGTTGACAAGAAAAAATACTCTTGATTCAATCGAATTTTTGCTTGAATCAAAACGAAATCCGCTTAAATGAAGAGGCTTTGGCTCTTGATTTAAGCTAGATTCTGATTGAATCGAGAGTACTTTTTCTTGTCGATGTTTTTAAGAGTCTGGAATCTAGTTCCAATGTGTTTTTTTCCAGTGTTGAATAAGGGTCATAAATTGATTTACAATTTCTTAAAGGCACATTCGTGATAAACTAACGCGAAAGATTCTCGACGCAGACTTAGGACATGAAATTACGTTCTGTTGTTCACACTCAAACCACCGATGGTAAATCGATGGACTGAATATCGCGAGAGCGAACATGGCCGTACTAAATCAGTTTCTTAGGGGTTCGCTGGCGTCGTGCCCGCTACTGCAGTCACATTTCCGTCGCCAAGAAAGAATTGATCTAGTGCTTACGACATAGGTATGACCTTGACATGCATTTTCATTCCTAGTCGGAGAGATCACTTATTACTGGAGCGGCAACGACTACAAGGTCGAAAACCAAGGGCATCTTTGAATTAATGGAAGAGGTTAACCCTCCCCTTCCCCTGAATTTTGAAAATGATCTTTTCTTTGCGCAATTTTGGTCAACTTAGAGCAACACTAGGAAGACTCCTCCCCCCCCCCAAAAAAAAAAAAAAAAAAACAAATGCTGGCTCCTCAAGACAACCTCTGCCTCGCAATTAAGAAGTCTATCTTTTAGGGGGGCTATTTTGGTCAATTTTGATCAATTTAAGGGTACTATGAGGTTGACTGAAGTTTCAGCCCCTCTGGTCAAGAAAATTTAACCTCCTTCGAATAACTCCAGCTACCTGTCCTCTCTGCATGTAAAAGTCGACTTTTGGACCGCATTTTGCGAAAAGGGACCGAGAGCATTTTCAATGTCGCTAAGACTGTGCAACTTTTTTTCCCTTGCAAATATAAACGGATAAATCTAAACCAGTTTTATCTCTACATCCAATAAACTATAGATTCAATACGAACATTACTTAAAGGACTTTAATTGTATGCATGATTTCAGTAATTTCATTGTAAATACTGTAAGTTGCACACTCCTCGCAACATCAAAAAGCTCTTGGTTCTATTTTGCAAAATGAAATCCTTTTTATGGAGCAAATTTAATTAATTTCAGAGCATTTTGAAACATTATATAAAGTTTTAGCACCTTCAAGCCTTTTTCTCCTCCTCCAAGCACACTGAAAAAAAATTATCGGCGTTTTTACCAAGGTCCGTTGGTCCGTTGGTACCTTTACCATCTCACTTTTTTTTACCAATTATTGGTAATTTTACCAAGATAGACTGGTAAACATACCCAAAAACCGGTATTTTTACTGTTTTTTCAGGTAAGAATACCACTTTTATTGGTACCTAATCAATTCCCGGTAACTTTGCCATTTTATCTCGGTAATTCTACCACAGTCGATAAAAAATATTGGCGTTTTTACCAAGGTCCAGTAAAATTACCGAGAAAGTCCAATACTTTACCCGAGATTTCTCGGTAAATTTACCAATTTCATAAATGGTAATTTTACCAAGAAAAACCTGGGATCAAATAGAACCCTGAATTCTTGGTTATTTTACCCTTTTCTTAGTAAATACACAGAGATTTTTTTTTTCAGAGCAATGCTCCTCCCCCGCGTTTGGCTGAAATGAAGCCCCCACCTGAAACTAACCGCCAGGCGACTGCAAGTCAACCGCAAGCGGTGGCTATTTTCGAAAACAGTGGCAAAGGAGCGACCTCCAGGAGACGAGTTCTCATTTAATTGTTCGAGATCGGGACCATCGGTCTGGATCAATTGGACGTATTTCTGTCAAACGGAACTATGTGCATTATGACGTGAGCCCTGTTACGCGTATATTCTTATGTGTCTCAGGGCTCATATCTTAATGCACATAGTTCCGTTTGGCAGAAATACGTCCAATTGCGAGCGCTCAAAGGAGGCGCCAACCGCCCCGCGTTGGGTTGAAATTTCACTGAAGTGCGTACGCCCTGGTTCCGCGAATCCGACCTCGGCTACAGCACGCGTCTGATCCCCTTCCGGGAAATCCTGGCGATATCCTAAAGTCAACGATAAAACAACACAAAGGTCTCATGCAAACCCCCGTCAAATTGAATAACGAATACGAAACGAACAGTAGCGGGGCGTGAATTGCGATTTATCGATTGTTATGTCATTTAAACCTGTGGAGAAGGATCGATAAACAGGGCGTTCGCAACGAACACCTCAATAATCGATTCTTTACCATACGTTTAAATGGCTTGACAATCGATACATCGCAATTCACGCCACGCCACTGGAAGCAAACGAAGTAGTCTCGGGGTGCGCGCGGAGGCGGCGGAGGTGACGGTAACAAGCCCGCCTACTCTCCTGCCAATATGTTCGTCAGTAAAAAAAAAAAAAAAAAAAAAAAAAAAAAAAAAAAAAAAAAAAAAAAAAAGGAGCATTCTTCGATTTCAAAGGAGTTCATAAGCGTAGCTAGAGGAATTTTCAGGGGGTAATCTGGCCCAAACTTTTTTAGGAGGGGTTCAAGTCTTCACTGTTAAAGGGTGATTCCACGATAAAAGGAATATTCGTATCGCCGTGGGTTATAAAAGACATACACTGGAAAAAAAGAATCTTAAATTTGCCGCCAAGAAGCATTTCTTCTTAAATCAAGAATTTTGCTGGTTAATATAAGCTACTTTTTTGCTTAACCCAAGCATTATTTTTCTTGAATCAAGAAAAAGTCAGCTTAAAGCAAGATAAAGAAAATTCTTGGCAGCAAATTCAAGAATTATCATGCTTGATCCAAGCTATTTTTTTTTCAGTGTAGGGCAAAACGATTGAAAACCAAGTTGATAAATCAATAGAAATGATGTCCCTGAACTTATTTTTGCTAAAAATATGATAAACTATTATTATATTTAATAAAATATGAGACTTCAAAGGCCGAAAATGTCCGGTCGGTTACACGTCGCCTACCCCGGTTTTGAAGCAACAGAGCAATTTGCGGTAATAAATCAGTACTGATCATGGATATACAATAGACTACACTGTCAATTAGTAAAAACGTTGGAGGCTTCATGCAGCGACCGATAAAATAGATAAAAACGAAACCACGAGAAAACTGCAGATAAAGTTAGGAAAATGTAAAGTACTTACGTGTTAAGCTCTAAATCAAGGCGAAATTTGTGGTTAAAAGCTTTGATGAGTAATGAAGTTCTATGAAAATGTTTGCCAGTCTGAAACACGAGAAACAAGAAATTCAATTAGAGTAGTTTACAGAGAAAATTATGAAAATGAAATTAAATACAGCTGCTGCCAGCATGCTTCACAATACATTACAGCTGGCAGAGAGATTTTGCCCTTGACTTTAGGCGAGACGCGAGAGCACGAATCCCACGGAACCATGTTCTTTTTTGAGGGTCATGTAGACAGTAAGAAAAAGTTACCGACATTGTGTGTTTTTAAGGGAAGTAGAGCACAAAGTGACCTAAACGTGCGGCTAATATTTTTTCGTTGATTTTCCTTTGAGTTACATTGACTGAATTTTTGGTCAATGATGGGTAGGAATCTTTGGGTTTTGAGTTCAAAATTTTGAATTTCGTTAAAAATCAAGCATGATCCGCCAGGATCGAACCTGAATCACATTAATGACATTCTCATGCGCTAGTGCTAACCTTTGCAAGCCACAAATGTAATGATTCGTAATGTGAGAAACAAAAGTACATTAGTTCAACAGAACGCTTTCTTCATCCCCACACGTTCCCGAGTAACCTACGCTTTTTGTCGCTTTAACCAAACATTTGGTTGATCATAAAGTCTTTTCAGTTGAACTGGTCGAAGAAAAAGGAACTCAAAGTGACCCAAAATAATCATAGACACGAACATTTTTATCGATACTTAAAGTTAGATTAAAAAACGATGGAAAAGCCGGAAATCCCAGAGTCAACAAAACACGAGAAAAAATGGTTGGGATTATCTTCTAAAATTGCGCTATTACTCCAATTTGTTGGATGATATGGACATTTCCAATTAATTTTGGTCGTATCGCAACATTTGGGTTAGTAACCGAATTTATTAGGATACTACCACAATTAATTGGAATTTTTTTTTTCAAGCTTCAAATAGTCCCATATCGGCTAATCCCACGCATACCACCAGCCCCAGGTTACCATTGTCTGAGACCATCAAATCACCTGGCCGGGAATAGAACCCAGGAACTTTTAGTTATAGGGCCAGCGCTACAATCACTACACCGCAGGAGGCCGACGGAAATGTCTAAATTGGGATTTGACCTCCTCCTCTTTTTTTCCGTGAAAGCTAGGGTTACTGTGTGTTTCAATTCCCTCACGAACCGAACTTTCGCGTTATTTTTACTCTCAACATGATGCTTTAATACGTAGCCGGGCTAGTGTCCCATGCAGTCCATTGAGCGCTCGTTGACATTTAGCGAGTAAAAATAGCCGGGAAAAACCTATTATAACTTACAGACAAGCAAGCGAACGGAAGGATATTACGAGCGCGCCGAGCTCGGGGGCGGGATGTTGGAGTCGGAGACGTTCGATACTAGGAAAAACGACGCAAGTAAACACGGGTTCGGCGGG